CGGCCGAGATACGCCCGTCTGACTGCGGCCGTATCAACTCGCCGCATCGGGTCGCGAAGACAAACTGTTGTTTTGGGGCTCCGGGACGACTCTCCCAGCGAGAGACAATGGCCGTGTCAGCACGTCCTCCCGTCGATTCGACGTTGACATTACGCCTCAACGACGTTGAGACGACGCTGACACGACGATATGACGATGACGGGGACATCCAACGAGACTTGACGACCGTCCAACGGCAGCCTCAAGAGGTAGTCCTGGGAATGAAGATATTGGAAGGGTTGTTTCGACAACACGCTTCCCGGTATGATGCCCCCGGGCGATAATTCCAGAGGATGCTTCCAGGATGCCGTCAGTGGCGCTTGGGAGAGCCACTGTGGCGTCCGAGGGCTGCCGCTGGAATGCTGCCGAGCACCAATCAGAGCCCCGGGAGAAGCTCCCCACCACCCAACCATGTCAAAATTATTTTGAAATTTTAGATAATAAAACAGTTTTGGGAAGCGCCTGCAGCAGGAAGCTGCTGACCGGCTGCTGCTCTCGCCAATTTCAGCGCTGCTGATTGTTGTGATTTCAGCTCGAGTGGCTCATTTCGGTGGTGAGCTGGCGGCGTCTGCGTTGTTATGGGCGGAAACTACTTGTGCAACAGAGTCATTTCGAACATGAGGACGAGGGGGTCGCAGCCCGCTCTGCCGCGCCATGCTCCCAGCTAAACGTTGGGAGAGAGGGGGGGGGGGGGGCTAGGCTCTGCGCACGTTCCGAAGCGCCAATACAAATTGCAGTGCTCGCCGTTCTGAGAATAATGCAAAGGAGGAGGGAGCATGGTGGTCACGCGAGGGGGCCCCGGTGCCCTGTTTGAAAGATACAAACGGATACCTGTAAGTAATTCATTACGTCTTTAAATTAAACGTCGACGATTACGATCAGTTTCAATCGCTGTCTTTGGGCCGGTTATCAAAAAAATAAAATAAAATACAATAGGGCATTGGTGCCCTCTATATACTTATAAAAGTAGAGTTGGGATCGTTCACGATAATTTAATTTTATCTTATGTTGCCATACGACACGTGTCACAGTCTTTAACATTTTTCTTTTAAATGAGCGTCAACGTTTATGGTTGCATAAAATCGCGTGTCTCGGCCGTGTGCCGTGTGGTCCTGTCACTGTTGTGACGCGGGAACGCCACATGGGGGGGGGGGGGCAGGGAGAGGGCGCTGCTGGCAGCCTGCTCAGGGGAAGGGGGCCGGGGCGCCATTTCAAATCGCTGTAGTTTGCAATTTCTGCTTCTGTAACTGTCGTCGTTCCGAGCGCTAAAATTTCTGCACGGCACGGCGGTGACGGGGGCCTTTGCGAAATAATACCAGCCCGCCCACGCACCCCCGAGAGAGAGAGAGAGAGAGAGAGAGAGAGAGAGAGAAGGGGGAGGCGGGAATCGCGGAGGAATGGAATTTGTGGAGAGGGAGCGGGAGAGAGAGGGAGAAAGGAAAGGCGCAGGCGACACGAGAATGGCCGTTGCAAACATACGGGGCCGTCCCGGCGAGCGATTTAGGAGGGGGACACTGCAACACGTAAAAGTCGCGGTGAAGCTTGTCTGGCTGCTGCTGGTACCCGTGAGATTGAATGGGTAGGCGCCAAGAGCTGTTGTACTTTGTGCGCCATCTCTTCGAAGATGTTTTGATTTTTTCAACGCCACGGTCTATGAAAAAGTATTACAAGAGTCTTCTGTGAACCAAATTTAAGCGGCTGACTGTCACTCTAATGTCAGTGTCTCCGTTTTCATCGCACATGATTCTATTTTATTTCGACGGTGGGCGTTGGCTGCTGCATAATACCCCGGGGTCCTTGCGGTGGGGGAGGCCCTCCCGAGGCAGCGAGGGCGTGCTGAGCACAAAGGGAGAGTGGACGGAGGCGGCCAAAAAATAAACAAAATCTCGCTGCCAAAAATGGAAAAGTGAGGCAGGAAAATGCGGGAAAATGCTGTTAGGCGCGCAGGCGGCAGGAGCCCCCAACCCTTTCCACGTCCCTCGCAGCACCTCCTGAGCAGACCCCTCTGTGTAGACTGCTCCTGCAGTCTCTTGTTGGGAAGCAGATAAGTCGGTCAACGGCACAGCAGCTGAGGGAGGACTGCTGCTTGAGCCTGAAATACTGATAAGTACACTGCCGGCAGAGTAGGACGCTTGCAGGCGGCAGCAACAGCAACGGCCTCGCCGACATTCAAAAAAAAGTATAACCTACTTCTTTGTAAACTTTGTGAGTTGTGACATTTCGCGAGTGCAGGCCGTAAACCTTTTCATCGCTAAGATTATACCGTTTGCGGGGTAACGCCACACAGACTATTCCTCGCGCGCTCCGGCCGTTGATCTTGTCACAATTATCGTGAAAATGGATATAAATTACCATCAAATCAAGCGTTTGTTGCCATCGTAAAAGTTTCGGTGAAATGGCTTCATCTCTTTTTGCCCATCCCTCCAATCGTCCCTCCTTCCGGGGGTTGGAAGGGGTCGTTAAAATACTCTACTCGGTGGGGGTGGGAGGGGGGGGCATTTCACGGCCTAAGGCTCCACAAACTAATGTGGTGTTCTGCGATCTCAACTAAAAAAAAATACTTTTAAAACGTAAATGAAAATTTTCCGATCAGAAAAAAGAACGACGAAAACAATGACTAAACAATATTTGACCGCCATATGATTTGCAGCTGGCCACAAGCTTGCGTTCGCTCGCTCACCACCTGTTGGCAGCACTGCTCGCTCCGCTCTGCGGGGGGTCGCCGCAATGTGCATTATAAAATATGGCAGAGTTGGCGATCGTGCATGATGCAGTTGGCTGCACTGAACTGGGCAATCTGGCCGTCGGTGCGTGCGAAGTGACCAAACAAGCGGGGAAGGGTCAGAAGCCGGGGCGCGGGATGGTTGCATGGGGCATGCGGATGGATGGATGGAGGAACGGGTGGGGGGATATGTGGACGGATTGGTGGATGGATGGGTGGATGGTTGTGGGCGGGCGACTCCCCCGGCTGTAAAATGAGGGATTATCTGTGGCGTAAAGCACCCAGCCGCTGCTTAGCTATTTGAGGGGTGGAGGCGAGCGGAGGGGTTGGTGTGCACTGTAAAAAATTTATATAGTAGATTTCCTATAAATGTATCTGCAGCAATTCACATATACATGTATGGGAATTTTCCCATACAGGCGTATGGTAATTCTACCATACAGGCGTATGGTAATTCTACCATACGCGATAGTACCCTTACCATACAAGTATAGGAATTCTCCTATACACCTGTGTAGGATAAGTACTATGTGTGTGTGGCATTATCCCTACACATGTATAGGAATTTTCCTATACACTCAATGCTCTTTCAAAACAGAAAAAGTGTTTTTTTCTTAACCACTTTCCCGCCGTTGCCCCCGTTCCTTGTTGCCTTCCTACCGCCTTTCGGTATTTTCATTTAAGTAAGCATTGATGTAATTTTGTAATACTTTACCGGATGGAGAGTTGAACCTCGGACTTCTGGCTTGCGATCCCGTCACGCTGACCACTAGACCACGGCGACTTGTTGGGAGGCGTGCCCCACCAACCCCGGGTCATCCCAGAGCCGCGCGCCGACCCTCGCTGGGCCATTCCCAGAGGGTCAGCCAGGTGTCGGTGCGGTGTACCGGGGCTGGCCCACGCCTTTGGGGATTTACTCTTAGATGTTTTGTTGTCGAGTTTTGAATTTTACTTCCTGCCCTTACTTGAAATTCGACTATCAGAGTTTGAACTGCTAAATAGACCAATATAGACTCTAAATGTGTGGTGTGGCGTCAGGCGGCAGATATAAGCTCATAAAATGACCGCGCAGACCAAGATGTGTAAGGTAGATAGATGTGTATATCTTTACCCGTTTCTTAAATTCCGAACATTGTATAGGAAAATTGTCTACATCAAGTAAATTTCCTATACATATTAAGGAAAATATGCCTACCAGACACGTATTGGAATTTTCCCATACATTTCTGGAGATTTTCCTATACACTTCGTACTCTTCCCATACGCTTCTTCCCAAATGGGAAAATTCCTACACATTTATAGGAATTTTCACTTCCGATACGATGTATAGGAAATTTCCTATACATGCGTATAGTAGAATTCCCAACATTTTTTACAGTGTGGTGAAATGTCATGCAGAAGGCGTGACGCAACGAAAGGCCCAACCGCTTAGCACTGTCACAGCCATAAGGGCAACTTATTCAATGTTTGAAAGGATTTGGCAAATAGTTATTACTACTAGCTATATGTACGCCAGACCACGTCTCGCGTAACAGGCTTCGCGATATCTCACGAAACACTGTTACGCTGCGACGCGCCTGGCGCACATATAGCTAGGCCTGCGGCGCTGACACCCAAGACGGGGTAATAGGAGTGTATATACAATTTTTCGAAATGAAGTTTTTTTTTTACGATTTAATCGGCCATTTGATCATTTTCACCTCATTTTTGCCACGAAATGCCCCCTAGCACCTAAACGGTACAAGATAGAGCAAAACGGACGAAATTTTCGCCCATGGGGCTCTACTTTGACGAGTTACCCCTTAGGAACTCATAAAAAAATATTTGATAAAAATACATATTGCGACCTGTAGTTTTTGATTTTTTTAAAAGCCAATTTTTGAGCTAGAATGCTCATCTTCGAACTCGATCTGTCTTTTTATGATACAAAACGACCCTGAAAATCCCAGGTCGCTATCTCAATTCTTTCTCGAGTTATCGTGCGGACAGACATACAAACAGACAGACAGACAGACAAACAAACAAACAAACAGAATGAAACTTTTCCGCTCAGTGGAGTTATGGGCTTCGCTAATCGCTCAGCCAACTAGCATCTTTCCCTAGTCGGAAAAAGTACAATCTACCTTTTCCTGTTCTAATATCCTCCCAGCGTTCGCGTTTTGTCTCAAACCCTCGTCGACATGACCTGCTCATCTTAGTACTTTTCCTGTAATGATATTTTGCCGTTTTCTGCTTCTAGCCCTGTGCAGACCGCACGTCCAGAGTGTCATCACTCGCTGCCGACGCCGCGGATCTGCACCGGTCGCCCGCCAGATCCGCAGTCGTCGTCCCGAATTCGGAAGCGACAAGCGACGCTCTACAAACCGCGACCCGCGTGTCGTTATACGGCCGCCCTAATTGCCCCATAAATCAATTTGAGCCGTAAAGCCTCCTCCATAAACACCCACCCACCAGCCGGCCACGTCTTCATCCACGCGACCGACCGTGCAGCGGTGCACAGGGTGAAATAAAATTCAAGTTTAGTCTGCAGGGGTCTGAAAAACAATTATGTTATTTGAAATATTGTGTTTCAGGTACACGTTGAGTATTATCTGTTGCATTGCATCAATTTGCCAACGTAATTTAGAAAACTAAAAATTTACCGAAGAGCATGACAGAAAAACATCTCTTCCAATCTTTTAGCTGTGTAGTTACAGTACCATCACTATCATTTACAGCTTAAAACGTGTGAAACATTTTTATTTAAATTTCTCTCTGAAAGCAAGGTAATGGTGTAACTATTTCGGAGTGATGACCTATCCTTCCGAAACCAACTGGAAGCAGAACTTCCTGTGACAAATGATGCCAGGGCTCGTCGTTCTTTCCTTTGTCCATCAATTGGCTGATTTGAATTTTGCTCCAGAAGTGCTGCCGTGGCTAATTAAAAGACAAAGCCACTAACCACGTGACAAGGCGACACCTCTCTCCTCCCTTCCGCTTGCCTCGCTGACCGAACGAGCTGTTTGAAATTCACTGAATCCATAAACACGAGCCATTAGGAGATGTATAAAGATAATTTTTACTTTCCGTTTAATGGCAAATAAAATTTTTGAGTGCAGTGTGCCACGGAAGCCGAGACCTTGTCTTCTCCCCCTCTTCATCCCTCTTTCCTCTCACACCCACATGCAAATTTGAACCTTATTGACGCCCTGTCGTGTGCCGGTCCGAATTCTATCTTTTACGAGCTTCGCCCGCAAAGTTGCTCTACACTCACTTGGAGCATCGGCCGCTGATATTTATCTCCGTTTCCTCGTTCTAGAGTGGGCTCGTATAACTGTGTTGTAATTTTATGGGCTGTCACGTCGGTGTGGAACCATGCGGTGGTCAGTCACCGCGGTTGACAGGAAACGCGAGAAATAATCTACGCTGTATTTTAATTTTCCAACTTCCAAGCTGCCCGACTTCTGAAAATAGCCTTTTTCGCAGGAGTGACGGAAAAAACACCTCTACGCTTAGACGCGAACGCTGTCAGTCGGCACACAGCGTGGGGGACATTTGGCAACTTTGCGCGTAGCTTGATTGGCCATACGGAGTGTCAAAATCCACACAAATATCTGTGCGTCCTCTCGGTGCTACATTCAGCAGTGAGCATGCAGTCGTCTCTGTCACTCCTACTATTTGGCTCCGAATGTGAGGGCGACGGAAGAAGAGGGAGTAAGAGAGACAGCGAGACGAGGTTGCAGCCTATCACGGCACACATGACTTGGCGGCAGGAGTGGCGGGGTCCGTCCCGAAGCGCATGATTTATTCAGCGCTTCTTGCTTTTAGCCAGTAAGAATGTGAATAAGGTTTGTGGACTTTCGTCGCTATTATCTTCTCAATTTTATTTGCAAACTTCCTAATCTCGAATTTTATAATTTATGGTTGAACGGAAAGCAGTTGCATTGTTTTTTACCTTTCTGGGCGTTAACAACTATTATTTTTTCGGCAAATTATTTATTATGAAAGACAATGAAAGTTTCAAAGCAAAGAGTTTTTTTTGTAAATCATATCCAAATATGTTTGTCTGTGTAGTGCACGTTGCCTCCCCCCACCACTGCCGCCTACCTTCCCGGTGGGGTGCCTCCCAGCCTGCCAGACCGCTTCCTTCTCCCCTCGTTCTTTTTCTCTCTCCCTCCTCTCTTTCTCTTCCTCTTTCTCCCTCCCTGCCCCCTTCCTCCTCCTTCCCCTCCTCCGACTCGTTGTCATGGTAACGGCCCCATTGCCAGGCGCGTACAGTCACAGCAACCAATACCACTGACATTGCAATCACCAAAGTTTAATACATTTCTGCTCTATTATTTTAGCGATGTAATCGCATTGATAAAATGAAAGGTGAAGCGGAAGAGGGATAAGGCTGCCCGACGCAAAATTTCCTGTACGCAACTAGATTGCTTTCAGTTCGTCGTGACAAACCTAAAACGTACTAGTTGCGACC